GATGGTTCAATGGTGGATGGAACATTTCTTACTGGCAGAAACTTGTCCAAGTTGTTAATCGTTGCCAATGCATTTTTGATTCGTATAACTTGCCCTCCTTTTATGCCACATGCCTTCAACAGCTCATCAGATGTATTGTTTAAAATACCAGCTGAATCGAACTATTCAAGTACAAAAAATTAAAATTAAATTAAAAAGATATATATATATGTTAATGACTGAGCGAGAGGTTCGTACAGGAGGATACTGGTCAAGTTATTTTTTCGCTTGTACGGACCGAGACTTTGGGGAGGTCCATTCAAGCGAAAAAAGAACAGCCATTTGATGTTTGGATTGGGCTTTGACCAATCTGAACGCGGTTGAAATAAATGTAAAAATGTTTTCCAGAGGTCTCAAACGGCCCGAGGCCAAAGGCCGTTTTTGATTTCAAGAGGAACTATTTTTCTATTCGGACCGAAATATAAACGGTAAATAACGTATTTATTTTTTGTCAAGCGGTTATGGCCGTTGTGCCATAATGTAATCTTGAATTTCATGCGTAAAACTTTCGTCCCTTTCATCCATGCTTACGTTTTCTGCTATATTTTTGCTAACATTTTCCACGATATTTCCAAGCTCGTCGGCATAGTAAAACTCGCTTTCCGAGTGAGAACTATCATTCAAATCCATTGTTAAAAACGTTTTCCAAATAACTTTTTTAAATTACTAAAACAGCTTAATTTATTGGCTTTAACATTTGCCAGGATTCTGCGGACCAGAGTAAAAAAAAATGAAGTAATTTATTCGAACATCAACTTAGCATGCTGCAATAATAATGATTTGGTATTTTTACTTCATAGTCTAATGTAGTTTGGAACCACAGCAGTTGAATCTTCACCCATAACGCTTGACATCTTAGATTACTTGACGTCTTAGATTACATTTTTTATCTTTACACTTTATTTCCCTCAATAATTTTCCCCACTAAATTCAAGTATTGTTTTTTCGGTATGGAATAAATATTTACCAAGCAGTGTTAACAAAAGCAACAAGAAGTCGTCTAGTGACAACGTCAACACGCAAAAATTCACGCACTCATGCTAAAATTAATTTTATACACATACCTCTTCATCTTCAAGAATGGAAATTACACTGTCCTTTACCCCTGCCTTCTTAAGATTATCAAGCAACGTGGAATCCATCCGACCTTAAACGCATAAAAATTTGTTAAACACAAATACAAAAATTTCTACATGAAATATAAGCACGAGGAGAAGTATGTGTCACAAGAAATTTCATAAGAAAATACATTCAAAAAAGCTTTGTATTTACCTTTTTAAAAGAAGGGAGATCGTCGAAACCAAATAACTTAAATCCAATGGCTCTCTAAGCCTGGTAATATTGACTTTTACGTTTAGTTCACAATAAAATATAATTTGACAACGCTGCACAAACAGATGAAATCACGATGAAAATCATGAAATGAAATATGAGACAGTGTGACAGTGACAGTAGGCTATAAGCATCTTACCGCGTTTTCGCATATAGTCGCTAATATTACATTTCACACCATATATGGTAACAGAGTTAAGCCGGCACTCTCTTCAGAAGTGAATTGTATTCTTGAAGTGAATTATGTCATGGAGCGTCTATGTCGGTGTAATATTTGCCTAGAATTCGTTTCAGATTCTCTTCAATTACTAATAACACATATTGGCCGTGTTCATCGTGATGAACCAAATTTTCATGTTGTTTGTGGCATCGATGGTTGTGCCAGGACGTTTAAGAAATTTTTATCATTGAGAAATCACCTTATTCGAAAACATAACATCGTGCGCAATACGAGGAACAGCGCAGAACGAAAACAGCTGCAGTTTGATATAAGTATAAAAATAAGTTAAAAAAACCATCTGAAATAAGTGTTATTTTTACACCCATCATTTTACAAGGAGAGTGGTGCAGAAATACCGCCCTTTATAAATTATTGTAACTCTTGCTAATGGCGTTAATTTAACACCAACCACTTAACACCAAGAAACAGTGTTACTTTAGCACCTTTGTGGCAGAACAAGGTGCTATTTCAGCACTATTAATTGGGTGTTAAAGTGCTGAGGTGTAAATTTAACACGCTACAATATGTTTCAGGTCATATGTTGTTAAATCAACACCAATATTGGTGTTATAATAACACCTTTTATTTAACACCACGGGTGGGTGTCAGTTTAGCACTAGAGAAAGTGCTAGCTCAACACCTCAAAAATAACAGTGAAGGCATCGAAAGCACGAATCGAATTTGGCATAAAAGAAAGCAGTTGAAGACGCCCACGGATAAAACCTCAAATGCTTCCGAATATTCATCGAAGATCAAGTGCAAATTTTGTGCTCGTGAACATCGTCCAGGGAAAACAAATTGCCCGGCATATGGAAAGAAATGTCGTCAGTTTTTAAAGTGGAACCATTTTCAAGTTTGTTGCTATGAGAATCGAAGAGGTAAAGAGCGGATACAAGACAATCATCAAGGTTCTCGCGCTGAATCAACAAAGCGAAACGGACAGATAAAACGTAATCAAGAAAGACCTCGTCAAGTGAATACGGTGCAAGAAATAACGTCCGAATCAAGTATAGAAGATGAATATGTATTTTCAACGTTGACGGTGCAACAAAAGCTGCCGAAATTTAAAGTGAAGATAAATGGTACTCCTGTGTCAGTCATGGCAGATACCGGTTCCAGCGTAAATCTCTTGGATGAAGTGAATTTTAAGAAATTGAAGAAAATGCCAATATTGCAGGAAGCAAATGAGAAAATCTTTCTTTATGGGTCGAAAAAACAACTATCAATTAAAGGAAAATGTCATTGTGTGGTCGAAACGATAAACTATATGGGTAGGAGACATTTTTTGTTGTTAATGGGGATACGGGTTGCTTGATAAGCTGGAAAAGTTCTCAAAAATTGGGTCTGGTACAAATAGTTGCATCCATAGAAGGCATTACAAAGTCTACACAGGAACCCGTTAAAGAAAAGGCACAAGAAAAAGTGAGAGAAGACACCAAAGTGGAAGAGCTAATTAACAAATATCAAGAAGTCTTTCAAGGACTGGGAAAATTGAAAGGGTTTCAAGTTCATCTACACGTAGATAAGGACGTACAACCTGTCGCACAACCTCATCGTCGGGTGCCGTTTCATGTGAGAAAAGACTTGGAGAAACAGTTAAAACGAGACGAAGAACGCGGAGTCATATAGAAAACGGTGGACCAACACCTTGGGTTTCACCAGTCGTGGTCGTACCAAAACAAAAAGGGGAGGTCCGAGTTTGTATAGATATGCGACAAGTAAACAAAGCAATAAAGAGAGAACGACACTTGACTCCGACGATTGGTGAAATTATAAGTGATCTAAATGGTTCTGCAAATTGGACTTAAATCAAGGCTATAACCAGTTAGAGCTCGATGCAGAATCAAGATATTTGACAACCTTCTCAACACAAATTGGTCTACGGAGATTTCGACGTTTGAATTTTGGAATAAACTTTGCTGCAGAGATATTCCAAAATGCCATCAGAGAAACGTTAAGTGGACTGAGAGGAGTGATTAATATCAGTGATGACATTATGGTGTTTGGCGTAGACGAGAAAGATCACGATGCAAATTTGAACGCAGTATTACAACGAATTAAAGATCAAGGACTAACTCTTAAGAAGGATAAATGTCTGTTTAAGAAAAGAAGTTTAATATTCCAAGGGTATGTGTTCTCAGAGAATGGTATTTTACCGGATCCCAATAAAGTGAGAGCAATTAAGGAGTGCACAAATCCTAAAGATGTAGGAGAAGTACGAGGCTTGTTAGGCATGACCAATTTTTGCTGTCGATTTATCCCACATTATGCCACAATTACGGAGCAGTTGCGTCGACTTATCAAGAAAGATGCCCCATTCGTATGGACAAGAGAACAAGAAGACACATTGAAAGCCCTACGGAAAGCATTAACAGACGGGCCAGAAAGTGCGTATTTCGATCCGAATAGTGATACGGAGATTTTCACAGATGCTAGTTTAGTTGGTATTTCAGCAGTCATGGCGCAGAGGAAAAGGGGAGAAGAAAAAAGGAAAATAATTGCGTACGCTAGGAAACCACTAACTACCACAGAGAAATAAATCTCGCCACCTATTCCCAAAATGTATTTCCTAAGTATTTTGTTGGGGTAACGTTGTCTTCTGATCTGACTGTAGAAATTGTTTTTATCTTCTGTATAAATATCTCAAACTTAAATCATCTGCCATGCCAGAAGCATCTACATGAATATATAGAACATCTGCACATTTTCCTTCCTGTCTCCTGTAAAATAATTCTTTATCATATTTTGTCTAGGTCAAACAGAGTTTGGTACGCTTATCTGTCACATGATTGTAATAATATCCTGAGGCTTTATTTAACTCATAATCACACATGTACGTTCTCGTAGCTTCTTTTGGTGGTTTGTTTAATATTCTTTATCCAATAGACTTCTGATGCTTTAAATATGGCAAATATCAATCAACAATTCACATTTATTACATTCAATCAATATCTTCGATTTAGACAAGCTATCTATTTAATAGCATAGGAAATACTTGAAGCTTCACCTGAAGCTTCACGAAGCTTTTCTTTATCAGTTGACATTTTGCATATTTACATAGCAAAATTTATCGATTTGATTAACATATTGATGAGGATGTTGCATTAGGTCGCAAAGTATCTTTCATACTATCTGTGTTGTCTTTTCTGTAGGTCTTTCTAAGATATTTTCAGGATCTCGTATAATTATAGGAGTATGATTTGGGGAACTGGAAAGATCTTTTATACTTAGGACATCTTTTATAAATATTTATTAAATTATTTAATTATAAAGTATTTAATATACCTACTATACACCTAATGTTTTGTGAGTTTAGAAGTTACATCTTATAGGTAAGCATATAACGAGATTAAATGATGAGACCATTGATTGTGCAATCATGTGAATGTAGGTTGACGTGTCTTTATAGGCTATTCATGGATATAGAGAATCGGAAAAGCAAAATTGGACTGAAGATTCCATGATGGTTTTCAAGAGAATGAAAGAAGTTGCATTTGATTCTGACCAAGTTCTCCTACCATATGTGCATATTCTCGATCTGGATTCTAAAGGGTACGAAAACAGCGAATGCATTTGGTAGATACCATAAACTTTTTTGTGCGCGGTTTGAACCAAGATGTGTGTAAAATATCTTGGTATACAGCAGTATCGATACATATTGTACAGCTGTACCGTTTGAGCATTTTTGTGTAACATTGTGGAGAAAAATATCGTTTGAAAAGCTCCGGCTGTAGACTAAATTTAAGTAAGTAAAGTGGGTAAGCAAAGTTGGAATCATATCCTTGTAGATTATTGCGTTGCTGGCTCAAAGATGAGTCTCAGGGGCATGCTTTACGCGCTTAGTGGTTGTACGTTCAAAGAGAAATTTTGGTGTGGAGAGTGTAGTCGATATGCATCATGTTGCATCTCCTGCGTTTATATCTTGTAATATTTTGTAAAATATTTTTATGATATTCTTTGAAATAGTCATTCACAGTTTTCATGATTAGAATTTTCAATGTTCCATCGATATTCCGGCTGTATGGTTAACATAAAATTTTCACACGAAAGCTACCTTTTGAATGTTTTTTTTCCGGCCAAACTGTCCCCAGAAGTGTCCACCTCGCGCTTCGCGTGATAGCGCCTCTGGTGTCCGCTAAACTGCAATCCAGCCGTTAACGTCGTTAAGGTCAGGATTTGCTCCCTTGGGATCGTATTGCTATTTTGTATAAGGGTAACTCGCTTACTTGGGTAACCCCAGCTTTTTAAATTTTTTTGTAAAGTTAAGTAAATTATGAATCCCGGTTGTATGCCTGTACAGTACGTACTAAATTATATATTCAAATATTGCCAACAACGAATGAAACACGAATACAACAGTTGCTTTTACACGTGATAAACCAGGAACAAGAAAATAAAGAGGAAACGGAACTGACATGACAAAACAACAGGATACTTCTCGTTTACTAATTTATTTCAATTTTAATGTTTCATTGAAACCGCGAATTGTAGTAACTCAATTGCAAATAGTGGTGATATAAAATATGTAATTGTCTTTGAAATGATAAGTTCTACTTTTTACTCAGTCCTACTGTACAATTTCATAGCCTCTAATACTATTATAATAAATATTCTACATTATAGAATACCATTTTAGAGTTCTTCTTGGGGAGTGCTGGAGAGTTTAGGGAGGCGCAAATCCCCTTACATGCCTAAATAATCCGCCTCTGTGTAACCCTTCTGCTAGGCTTTCCTTACCTCAATGTAAACAGGCCTTTAGTTGTACAACCGGAGTCGAGACAGGGTTAGGGTTAAGGTATATCAATATCTAGTATTTTTAGGAGACTGAATTCCCATTAGTTAATTCATATTTTCTTGTGCGTCATCTTTACAGTAGCAATAAGCGTTAAAAGAAAAACTACTGTAAAATTTTCCGGTACTTATTACTTGCGCTCGGCGTATTTCGGCAGTGCTGATTGGTGCTTGCTAAACTACAGTAGCCCCCTGGTCCTTACCAAAGTAATTGAACAATTGATTAATGTTTCATAACTTTGTTGATTTTATTAGATTTATCAAGCCACACATTGACAGCGTCAAGGTAAAGCTATGTTGACCAAATGAATTCCCATGACCCGTCGAATGTATACTTTGAAATCGAGAAATAGTTGCTGGTTGTATTCGAGCTATCTTTGCCCAATTTTATTTGCAGTTGTAGCTACATAAGGAAGGTCTTTTTTCTTTTGAAGATACGCAAAAAGTTTCCAAAGTAGTTGGCTTGTTCAAACGAATTCTTCGGTTGCAATAAACCACATAGCTCATAATAGTAGCTCATAATATCATATTGAGAATATACATTCAAACCTGTTTTAAGCGATCTTATATAAGCGGACATCCTATATGAAAAGAAGAGGACACTTCGTAATGTCCCAAATGTAATCCCATATTACTAATTTGAAATAATAAAATCTCCTTCTAGCGGTACCTCCATTTAGCGTACACTAGTACGTTCCCCGATGGTGTCTGCTTAATACAAGTTTGACTGTATTCTTTTGTTTCTGGCCATTAACATTGCTGGCTCAAACTCAAGAACACACGGACTGATCGCGTTAATGTTGACTGACGTTTTAGCATCCTTAGTGGTTGTAAAAATTAGAGTTAAGGATGCTAGGAAGGAAAGTTAATGATCTCGAGACGTCTATCAATACCAGCACCAACAGTTCTTCGCATGATTGCACTCACCTGAGCGATGCACATTTCTCGTATTTTGATTGATTTTAGCTTATAAAAATGCCTTATTTAGTGCAATAATTATTTGTATTAAGCTTTGTTAACTTCATCTTGATCATGTTAAACACATTACTAAGTAACATTGCAATTCCTTCAACAATAACAAGAGTTGATAAAATTTTAATTCACAAAGTAGTTTTAATACATATACGTCGTTTTCTTTGTCATTCTATGAAGGGCCCATTTATATTTTTATTTTTAGTTTTGTGGTTCAACTATTGCCGGTCTGAGCCTTCTGTCGCCTTCAATAATGCGGTTTTGTCATGAGGACGCGAAACATATCAACGTTGATGCTTTGTTGCCTCGAAGATCACTTTATATCTGTAGGTGTGTATAATTTGTAATCTGAAGTCTTAACAGAATACATCCACAAAGGAGATAAAACTAGAACGGTAACTTGTGAAGGTGCGTGAGTTCAATATATGTAGTTGTATTTCAAAATAGCAAATACCATGGTGAATGGTGATAATAACAATGAACAGTTCTTAAAAGAAGTGTTGTAACCAGAACACTAACCCAACAATTCAAAGGAACCGTTTTTTACAGCTAGAAAGAGACACTATGCATTTCGGCAGACTACTCGTCAGGTGTCAACGTCTGCTAAATGAGAACCTCCAAACCATGCTATATTTATAACGTTACAAAAGGTCAATGTCATCCCTATTTTGAGAGATGACACTTAAAACAGAGACAGATTAAACACGTAATCCTTTTGTCGGCAAAGGACAGGATTAGTCAATTTAATTAATACCGACTCAATGACGCGTAGCTGGAATAACGAGCGACATTTTTTAATAATTCTAAAGTTTTCATCAGAATAAGCATTGGCACAGCGAGTGTTGCTCAAAAGATGTTTTCCAATCGATGAATCACATAGAATCGGATTTTCACTTTTACACCCACGTTTTGGTAGTTTTTCGTAAAGGAACAGTTTTATTCCTTATAGCAGCTGGTACATGCTGTTTTATTCTTTCACTCAACCTTCGACAAGTCCTACCAACATAGCGAGCATCACACTCACATTTAAACTCGTAGACTACATTGCTTGATATTTGAGCAGGGAGAGACTCTTTGGGAGTGGGTGGAAGAATAGTTCTTTTTGAGAATATAAAGACCACATTGCATGCAAAAAACAAACTCTCGGTGATATTTTTAGTTTCCTTCTCGATGTCATTAGAGGCCTTACCCATCCAGGGAAGTTTAAAGAACACTTGGCCGGTCCGGGCAATTGTCGGAACACTTGGCCGGTCCGAAAAGTTTATTCCGTTCATTGTTAGTGGATAAGAAAAGTTTGTCTAAAGTGTTGTTAAGGGTTTTCTATCAAAGTATGATTACATACGGTATTGTGCGTATTTAGGAGATATTATAGATTCAAAATATGGACTGTTGAACGGGCAGATAACGAAGAGAAATTGAAGCGGCTAACAAGCAAAAGATACGGTCACATTGATGCTGCTGCATCACATGTAACAAATCTTTCGTCGTATCAACTCTCTGCAGTCGAATTAGATGTACTATCTAGAGGTCCTAAGTTTGGAATTCCCCCCAGTAAGTTAAATAAAGAGGATATATTTTCTAAGTTTGAAATGTTTTGGTCGCAGTTGGGAAAGTTTCAGCCAAATGATAGCGAAGCAGTGCCGGGCTTTAAGAGTAAACTATCAAGTCTTGCACACGCTTATTCTGAATGCAAGGTTGATTCTAAAGAATTTTTGTCTTACAAAAGAGCACATGATCACACTGTCTAATTTGAAAAAGAATAAGAACATTGTTATATGTAAACCAGATAAAGGCTCTGGTGTAGTAATTCTAGACAGAGAAGATTACAACACCAAAATGCTAAATATTTTGAAAGGCAACAACAAGTTCTGCGCGCTTGGAAAATTGCCAGAGTGCGATAAATATAGCATGGTTTGGAGGTTCTCATTTAGCAGACGTTGACACCTGACGAGTAGTCTGCCGAAATGCATAGTGTCATTTTCTAGCTGTAAATAACGGTTCCTTTGAATTGTTGGGTTAGTGTTATGGTTAAAACAGTTCTTTTAAGAACTGTTACATTGTTATTATCACCATTCACCATGGTATTTGCTATTTTGAAATCCATCTTTAAGTTTGTCACCACGACAAAGTCTCTGTTTCATTAGATGTAGTTGTACATTCAGCTCTGTTTGACTGAATTCTTTTGATAGTACTATCGCTTTTAGAAGAAATCGTTTGGGTAGAGCTTAATATACGAATTCCTTCCCATTAAGCGTTCTAGCTTTTTATTTGGAGCTGGGGCGCTATTCATATGTTCATGTTCCACAGCATGAAGTTCCTTTGAAATCATTTATTTTCTGCGGATTATAACTTGTATAAATGAATATTGCCTCCCGCAAACGTCGATTCTAGCTATGCCACTGCATGGCAACCATTGCAGAACTAAATTTCTTTACTTGTAAGTCTCGTGTCACGCAAGGTTTCTGACTTACAAAATGTCCTCATTTTCACGTATGTTTTAGAGTGTAACTTTACAAACTAAATTTGATTAAAATCAATTGGAAAAGCTTACGCAGTATTTTTACTTTGAACCTTTCTGCCCATTTCTATTCTTGCAAACATGTCCCGATATTATTGGTTATTTAAGATTTTGTGTCTCGACGCACGGATCACTTTTATAATAAGAAGTATTCTTACGTTCACAGGAAACTTATTCGTTATGAATATACCCATGAGATATTACCTCCCGAGCAGTCAATATGGGATGGAAGTTTGATCGAGCGGTCACGAAGGATTTCGTTGATTTTGCGCTGTGAACCGCAGACGACTATCTGATATTCATTGGAATAAGCAAAGGTATATGACACATTGAACAAGGTATTATGATAAACCAAATATTCTCGTCGACCAGTGAAGTGCAACCGAAAGTTTTTTAAGACATTTGAGGTCGGGTTTTAATGTGCCATTTTGAGGCTATAAAGCTATTTAGCTTTATGGTTAAATCATAGTGTCAAAGTTTTAATATATAATTAGTAGTAACATAATTTATCCACTGAAAGAGGAATGTATCGTTTTATGTTATATAACATTGCACTTACTTGAAATGTTTCTGTTATTGACGACGTAAATAAAAACAGAATTTCATGTTATTTTACGAACACGAATAGACAACACGAGTTATATGAAAGTGAAAGATATAATTTTTACAAATTGCACGGTTATTGTTCACTTAAAAACTGATTTGTAAAAAATTAGGTGAAATTCGGACCTGGGTTGAATTATTTATTGTGTTTGATGAAGCTACGAATGTTGACTCCAGTGAACCATTTTATCCTCGATAGAGATTTAACAACTAGGAAATTAATGAAACAGAGACTTTGTCGTGGTGACAAACTTAAAGATGGATTTCAAAATAGCAAATACCATGGTGAATGGTGATAATAACAATGTAATAGTTCTTAAAAGAACTGTTTTAACCAGGACACTAATCCAACAAGTCAAAGGAACCGTTATTTACAGCTGTGATGAAAACTTTAGAATTATTAAAAAATGTAGCTCGTTATTCCAGCTACGCGTCATGGAGTCGGTATTAATTAAATTGACTAAGGCTATGTTTACACGAGACCGGATAAGTTTTCGTCCGCTCAAAAATTCGCGCCGTTAGGCCTTCCGTTTACACTACAACACGCATCCGTACTAATTTTTTAACATGTATCCGAAAGAATATTCGTGCTGCTGTAAAAGCGGGCAAATAAAAACTTGTGCGGATGAATATTTTGGCTGTACTGTGTAAACGCAATCCAGTTGTTTTTTCGATCGGATTCGATCCATACCCCTCACTATGTCTCTGATTTTTTCGGTAATATAGATGTATACAAAACAGTAGTAGCAATACATATATACACGAATCATGGACGAATGGAAGAAAAAACTTCCTTTAGTTTTATTCACGTCGGCTTTATTAAGCTCCGTTGCAACTTTGGAAATTATTCCGGCTGTTGTAATGTCATTAGAAAGAGAGCGTGAACGAAGGCAACGGTTGACAACTATGACAGCCATTTTGGGCATGCAAACAAAAAAATTCAGCTTGCTTTTACACTCCATTAAAAGAGGGAAGCGAAAAGGAAGAAGGCGAAGGTTCTGGGTGAGACCAAGAAGGAGCTCCGAATGGTGGACGAATTTCATGAATGGTTTTGTTGTTGAGGAAGAATGGCGAGAAAATTTTCGAATGTCGAAAATGGCTTTTACCAAATTATGCAATTTACTTCAGCCGTTTCTCGAGAAAAAAGTTACTAATATGCGCGTACCTATATCGGTTGAAAAGCAACTGGCAATAACACTCTATTACTTGTCGGACGAGGGTAGATATCGTAAAGTGGCAAATGCCTTTGGTGTATCGAGATCATCAGTCTCACTAATCGTTCGACGAGTATGCCATGTTTTAACAAAAAGTCTGTGATCCAAATACATAAAACTACCGCAAAATAAGGAAGAGACGCAAACTCTTGTCTCAAAATTCTTTGTTAAACATGGGTTTCCACAGTGCATGGGTGCAATAGATGGTACGCATATTTTCATTAAACGCCCCAGTACCTCACCAACAGATTACCTTAACAGAAAGAACAGGTATTCTCTTAATGTTCAAGCTGTTTGTGACTTTAAATATCGTTTCATGTATTTGGTCATTAAATGGCCGGGTAGAGTACATGATGCACGGATATTTTCTAATTCCAACATTAACCGTAAGTTTCGTGAAAATGAGAGTTTTAAATGTCAAAAACAAATTGTTGATGATGAGATGCCAGTCCCTGTGTGTATACTGGGTGACCCCGCTTATCCTCTCCTTCCATTTCTTATGAAAGAGTTCCCAGGTGGTGGCAACAGTTTGCAACAACAATATTTTGGGTGGCGCCTTTCTTCAGCGAGAATGGTCATAGAATGTGCATTTGGAAGACTGAAAGGCAGGTTTGGAATATTAAAGCGTGAAATGGATATCAACACTGAAGATCTACCATATGTCATTTATGCATGCTTTGTTCTCCACAACTATTGTGAAGAAGAAAAGCAGGTTGTTGCTGAAGAAGAAATAAGCAAAGCAATGGAATGTAAAAAACAATTCCAACCACCCATTCTGGGAAACAGATACACCCTTGGTAATAATGATGAACAAAGTGGGAAAATAATTAGAGACATTTTTGTAAAATTTTTTGATTGATAAAACCTATAACAATCACTTAAAATTTTCTAGTTAAAGTTATCGGATGATAATATGAATATTTTTAATTGTGTATTAGCTGAAAAAGGACATGTGTTTTAGCTCAATAAGAATAATCCAATTTCAGTGTTACAAACACAAAACATGAAGTCTAGAAATAATTTTCCAATAAAAAAAACAGCTTAAGTATAGAAAAATACAAATTTTGGGCTATTAAAAGCCAAAAAGTAAAGCATGGCTATTAAAAGTTTGGATAAGATGGGAAAGATTGCGAATATCCATTTTGATGGTTTCTGTAGCCATGTTGGTCAGTTGGCAGCATTGGCTGTTGAAAGAACACTTGCAAGGAACTAAATCCATTGTTAATAGCTGATGTGAGATTTCCAATGCTTTCTTTTAAGCACTGCATGTCATTCTCATGTTTTCTATTGGCTTCCTCCATCATATCAACAACTCTTTTCTTGAGAACAACTTCTTCCTTTGAATTGCTAATTAATTGAAGCATGTGCTTATCTAAAGCTCGCTTCTTAGTCAGCTTTGAATCTTTCTTTTCGTTCAGATTTCTAATTAAATTACGTCTGAATTGACCCATATCTTTGACCTTGTGAGACAAATCTTGTTTATCTGAAGCATTTCTCTCAATTTAACTCTCCAAATCAACTTCATTCCTTTCGTATAAATCAATGGAATCATCGCATTGACTACTTGAAGATGTTGGTGAGATACTCCTAACATTTGGAGTTGAGATTCCAACATTGCCACCATCCAGGTCAACGGTTTCAATTCCCTCTGGCATACTTTCAACTGCTGGAGATCCTGCCCAAATTTCAAAGCATTCGTCATACAGACCCAGCACAACTCTTCCACCACCACTTTTACGACCACTGTCCACAGCCTTACGAAAATTAGCTTTGATACGCTTTATCTTTTGCGATATCTTTTCTTTGGTAAAAACAGCTAAATTGTTGCAGTTCGGATAGTGTTCCATGCTTGTTTCATTTTTTGGGTAGGCTGCGCAAAAACGCTGCAGTATTTCTTCGTACTTGTTCTTGATTGTTTCCCAGTCGAAACCAGCATTACATTTATCAGATTTATAATCGATAACTACGCGCATCAAAAGAGCAGTCTCTTCGTCACTCCAAACAAAATTATGATTTCGGGACGCCATGTTTTAAGTGAAATGTATTACACATGCGCGGCTGTGTGCACAAGCTATCATACAGTGTTCTCACTTCTCATAAACGACCCACGAACAATGCCCACGAATCCTTTCTTATCCATTAATAAGTGCTACAAAGCTAAATAGTGTGTAAACCGAAAGCGTAAACGCTCGAGTTTTAAACGACTTGTGTAAACACCTTCGCCCGTGCAAGTTTTTGAGCGGACGAAAACTTATCCGGTCTCGTGTAAACGTAGCCTAATCCTGTCCTTTGCCGACAAAAGGATTACGTGTTTAATCTGTCTCTGTTTTAAGTGTCATCTCTAAAAATAGGGATGACATTGACCTTTTGTAACGTTATAAATATAGCATGGTTTGGAAGTTCTCATTTAGCAGACGTTGACACCTGACGAGTAGTCTGCCGAAATGCATAGTGTCTCTTTCTAGCTGTAAATAACGGTTCCTTTGAATTGTTGGGTTAGTGTTCTGGTTAAAATAGTTCTGGTTAAAATAGAGTCAGTGCATCAAAACGCATCCAGCGATAAAAACACAGCCAACAATAACACAGCTAATGACGTAGCAAAACAAATACTTTTATATCAGTTATAGAAAGACGCAGGAAAGCTTGGGAAAACGAGAAATTGCGTGGCAAGCACGAGTAAACGTGCAGGAAGTGCGAGTGTTTCCGAGCGATTTCGAGTGTTTCTTTATAGAAATAAGTGAGCATGTTATCTTTTTTTCTTTGTAGAATAGCCTTTTAGGAACAACATTAAAAGGATAAATTTATCGATTTCAACAACATGTTTTTTACATTTTTACCACTAAAATTTCGCACCATAACCACGCTACCTGCAAGATTTTTGCGAGACTGAAGTGATGACTAAAAGTCATCGCATTGTGTGTAGACGATATGCTTGGGTGTGTCGATACGCACATAAACCAATCACAACGTTACGACAAGTACTAACGAACATCAAGGACAAAGAGCAACCCAACGAACGACAAGGTGCAGTTTCCAAAATAACTGCTCCCCCCGTCACGCCTCCTATATTGATGGGACTGGCAGGAACTTAAACATAAGACTTACTGAACAAAACGAGCTAGAAGGAAACAAGACAAAACTAATCACATTGCCAAACATCACTGACTGACTAAACACAACATTGACTGGGACACGACAAAATGCATTACTGAGAGCATTGACTTCAGACAACCGTTTGTGTTAGAAAGTTGGTGTACTGACTTAGAACAAAACCAACGAACCTTATGTTTACTTGACTCCAAAGATGATTACCGCCAAAGTTCTCGAAACGTCCGTCTACATCAACACCAACAGTCTTTCTTAGGAGTTAACTAATCTTGACGAACTACTTCTATGAACGTGTAATTATAGATTGCAATTTTAGATTGTGGAGAATTTTGTTCTTAGATCAACGGAAACCCAAGATCAAACAAAGTTTAGTGGATAGCACGCACCAGATGTTACGTAACAGCACCAGGCGTTTGTGGAAGAACCCTGAGAGCCACTTCTGTGTTTGTGTCAGCCTTACTGTCAGCTATATGCTACACAGAAGTGGTAAAAATCACATCGTGGTGAACTTAGCTTACCAAAGTTGTTTGCTTCGTGTAACAATACTGGATTTCCAGACGTCCTTCTACTTATAACTCGTTTATAACATTGAATGCACGGTGATAAAATAACATGCTTATTTATTTATTTACGTATTAAAGGTAGATTTTCACAGGATATTCAGTTGATAATGAAGTGTTTTCATCATTGACCATGTTGGAGGAAAATCGCATATAATGCAAAGAATTTATGTTAGTTTCACGCTCTGTTGAGCATCGGCAATTTGATGTACTCCCACAACGTGGCCGCTTAACGTCACATGGAAACACTCCACATTGTAAAATTACAAGAGATCTGTTATCAATGCGAATCCTGCTTAATATGAATTCTGTAACGAACTAGCTAATTAGTACAATATAACACAATTATAAAAAAACTAGAAGTTGAAATGACATGCAATTTGCTGTTAAAATCGTTTTGTAAAAGGCTGTTTTATTGCCTACTATGTCACGAAATTTTTATTTTTGTCATTACATAATTCTACTCGCAGAATCTTTAGATCTTTGTCCAAAAATGGGATGGACGTTGAATGTCGTCTTTGTAATTTTCCTCCATGTTTAAAAAAAGTCTCAACGTTTTCTCAACTTATATCAAGGTGATAATTTTGAAGCAACGCACCGGTCAAGTGTCCAGTTTTAAGTTCTCTCTTTCGGTTGTTTTCATTTCTCCCGCGTTATGTGTTGTATTTTGTTTTTTCTATCTGCGGGTAAGTCACACTTATGTTGGTTGTACTCTCGCCATTTCCAGTTAATGCCACAATGTAATTATACTCACTTTCAATCTTCGGTTTTTCGTACAGCCGTAGTGCCATTAACATGAAGTGCAAAGAGAAATGTGTGTAGGCTATAATCGTAAATATCTGTCCCACAGCGAAGAAATAATGTAATCCCAGGGAATCCTGCCTAATTAAATGACGACTGACACAGTGCAAAAGCATTGGGTCGAACTTTTGTACAATCGATGCCACAAACTTTGCTATCAATCCACCGCAAGTAGCTGTGACAAGAAAATTGTTCTTTAATTTGTGGTTTTGTGCTAACTCCATGGTTTCTGCTGTCACTCCCGTGAACAGGAGAATGACGAATAGCATTGTGAGACCATTTGCAAAGTTAACTGCCACACTCCACCCAAAGTTTGAAGAGGCCACCTTGTACTTTAAACAAGCTGATAACATTATACCGGAACTAATATACCAGAATACGCAAACGGCACCTAAATTACTGAATGCAGTAGTAATGTAATCCAGTTTTTTGTTCTGGTGAACTGGAATGTCCATTTTCAGCAGCAACATAATCGAAAAAAATACTAGAATGACGTCAACACAAATTGGTAAAATGTTCAAATACACAGGTAGAGTTTTATACCAAGATTGAACAACAGGCAGTGTTTCCATGGTGACGCAAATTACACTGAACAATAAGGCAGCAATGATGTAATGTGGTCGCTTTGGAGAATCCTCGAAGTCTTCGTCATCAACTTTTGTTATGTGTGGCCAGTCATTATCCTCCAAAACGTCGCATGCGTGTTTCAAAAAACACACTGTGAAAAGAAACTGGTAATAAATGATCAACGCCTGTAGGATGTATTGCACGATGCCTATCGTACTTTCAATAGGAATGAGCATGTGTAATGGCACATTGGTGGGAGGAAAGCCGTTCAAAAATAAATTAAAGTCTATAAGGGCCAAAAACTTGAAGTAAAAACTTGTTCCGTACTTAAAATCACTCATCCGTGGAATACATTGACGAATGGATTTGTACATGACACTTTGCACGAGCTTTTGAGCAATAAACATGATGTAAGACGAAGCAAATGTGCCGTCTTTGGTTTTGATGGCCGAACAAAAAGAAAAATGTCCCCAACACAACAACAGAGCGTAACTACAGCAATGACTAGCCCCATTCCCCTGTTACGTAAACCGAAATTGACGCGAGTACTCTTTTCGAATAAAAAGAGATACCCGAATACTGTTGCGAACATTGATACTATGTTCTGTACTATACAGTGCCAGATTATGATTTTGTTGTTGTGTTTGAAAAAGTGTCGGCTGCACAACTGCGTAGTAACACTGCATATAATTCCAATTGAAAACAGCAGGCTTCCAAATGTATTGTCCAGATACGAGCGCCTGAATCTACATCAAAATTAGAAAAAGATGTTGTGTATAACTATGTTGTACAACTTATTGTCATTTGAGCAACTAAATTTTTACTTGTAAAATCATTTATAAATGCACTTTGAATTAAATCAATAAGAGTAATAACATACAGATGTCTACTAAGTGATGTTGCAAAATCGTAGCCATACTGGCGCTTTAAATCTTTTTAATTGTCAAGCAAAAATATGATGAAGAAATGAAAACACGTGTTACTAAAAGAAAGAAGAAAGTCTTAATACAGCATGTTAAAAAAATCTGAACAGTTTAGAAAACGTCCCCAAAGTCATCAGCGCTGCAAAGGTTTAGCAAAACTTTCGGAGGAAACAGTTGTTTGGACTTCCAATGTTTAATCTAACAGTAAAATTGTCCTGAACAATTCACATTTGTGTAGGTAAGAGTATAGTTTCGGGTGCTATTACGGATAAACATGTGCAAATGAGTTTTTTAAAGACTGCAGGGAAATATTGAAATATACAGCTAATTGCAGTCTTTAAAAAACTCATGAGTGCATGTTTAGCCTTAGTTAATTGCACGAAAAACTATACTAAGCCCTTAATAACCGAGCTCGAGGTCTTTACGGAGTAATATCTGACCGAGGTGTTTTTGTTCAAGTCGAGCTCGTAGGGCAAGGTCCGATAATTTTTGTCCTTGCTGTTTTCTACTGGTTGACTTTCACTTTTCTAGTTTTCGTCCATAAAAAATAAATCGTTTCAAATTGTATCGTCTGGATAGTTAAACTATTTTCCAAGCGTTTCCTTCGAATCGCATTAGTAAATGTTTTTTGTTTCGTTTATTTTGAGTTCTGCTGTTTGCATTACGAAGTTTGTTTACATTTGAGAGTAAAATTACGCGTTTTGGACCGTGGTCGATTGCGGGAAAATAATGGACCGGCAAAAATCTTTCGGAGCCAATGAAAGCGCGCCATTTTTCTGGAAGTGACGCTTGCCATACAATAATAAGCAATTATTAGATGAGGTCGAGCATGATATCAACAATTATTCAGACTGAGCTCAATGTTACCTGCCGAAGCGAAGCTGAGCGTCACCCTTTTTAGTGTTTACCACTTCTTTTTTGCTCAAAAGCTTTTGCTTATTGTTTTTAGAAACTGTGGTGAACATCGTTTTGATTTTTTTCAAAACCGGCTTTTAATGGCGTCCATATTTGTAGAAACTACGCCTTTTTGAAGTCATTAGAGGAAAAGACGTCCTTATTTGTGTCAAAGATCGTTCAATAAAACGTAAATGCATTGATTTGTGACAATTAGATAATAGACGAAACGTTTATTCAATAAAGAAATTTGAATATTCTCAAACATTCATTAACGTCTTTAGGAATTTATGCACAAAAATAAGCATACAATGGCATGAATTTTCTATTCATGTGCATCTATTCATGAGTCATCAGCGCAAAACTGCAATCAATTAAAGGAATGTATTATTTATTAAGATTTGTATGCACGAAAGTTCATTCAATAACGTCAATGAGCAGTGATTAAAACGGATTATAGTGTCAATAGTATTTTAATGATAACATTAACATATTCGGCACGTTCATTAAACACAAATAATTTTTCAATACAACAAAACGTAAAATGTCTGGAAAACGATTTTGAAGTCCTTTAGCCGGAAACGTTTTCGCCGTTTAAGCATCGTGGTATTTATGTCTGCATAGAACGGTACCATTGGTTGCACTTGGCTGCAGCAATCGTGCTGGATAGCTTCAAGAAGAAGACAAGTTTTAAATTCTCCTAATGGTAAGCATCGAGTCCTTGCTGCCGCTCTGTTGCCCATCAAAAGCTGAATTTCAGGTTTGGCAATATCAGCTTTCATTGCTGCTCTGAAGAAACTGATAGCTTGCTCCACGATATTTAAGAACGGACTGTATGCTGGTAGATTTTGTAATTCAGTATGAGGGCCTGGAATTAGTGGATTGTTATGAGGTGGTGCACCATCCAATACAAAAATGACTTCCTCATCAGGATCCAACTGTCACATCGCAGTGATTGCTCCTTTTCATACGTACTGTATAACGGTATTCAGCTTTTGGTGTATTGCTAAATTATTGTATACAGACATCATTTTCACGTCAATCGTTCCATTTTACGTTATCTTGTATTGAAAAATTATTTGTGTTTAATGAACGAGTCAAAGACGTTAATGTTATAGTTAAACTCCTATTGAGATTAAAAACTGTTTTAATCATTGCTCATTGACGTTATTGAATGAGCGTTCGTGCATACAAATCTTAATAAACAATACATTCATTTAATTGATTGCAGTTTTGCGCTGATGACTAATGAATAGATGCACACGAATAGAAAATCGATGCTATTGTACGCTTATTTCTCAGCATTAAATTCCTAAAGACGTTAATGAATGCTTGAGAATATTCAATTTCTTTATTGAATAAACTTTTCGTTCTATTGATTGTTAACTGTCACAAATCAACGTATTTACGTTTTATTGAATGGTCTTTGACCCTAAAGGCTGAAAAACTCAAAGCAGTCGCTTCAGTGAGTCGCTTCAATAGGCAATCTCTTCGCTTAATAATGACGTCTTTTCCTGTATTGACTTCAAAAAGGTGTATTATCTGTAGGTATGATGTCACAATTGCACATATCGTGAATTATCTGCAGGTATTTGAACAATCATAGCCGAGAATGCTCACATAGTGAACAATAAAAGCTGAAACACACTAGGCAGTCGCTTTAGTCGCGCGTCTAAAACTACCGCTTTGCGTGGTTACTAAGCTAGTAGCGTAGTCGCGTCATCCATTGAGTTCTATAAGACCTAGAGGAGAAAAGGGGCCTGGATGCGGTTGTCAAAAACATGGCAGTAATGGTGGATTTTAGTGGTCAAAACGTCCACTTTAAAATTTTTTCAATATTCCCTCCCTCCTGATTTTTAATACTGTTTGTAGGAACGATAACAAGGGAAAAAAACAATTGCGATACCGAGTGCATATCATGTGAACATAATGCTTCAGCATTGGGTAAAAAACACAGTACACACACACATCAAAATAAAGAAAATCGACGGTAGAGAAACGCATATTTTGTCTGTAACATTTAAGTTATTTTATGACATTTTAACCTTTTAAAAGTAAAAATCAGTATTCTTTAGTAGACCAGTCAATCTCGTCAAACTACAGTATTTCATCTTTTTGGGTGTTTGAATGTTTGTATACAGTTTGGTGCAACTATTTTTCTTGCTCAAATGGAAAAATCTGGGTTAAAATGCTCCTAAGGAAGCGAGAAATGTTTGCTTCAGTCCTACGACGTAAGTCAACTGAAAATTTACCATGGATAGGTATCATGAGTGTATTGCCATTACCTGATAAATCTACTGAAGACTCATAAAGAAAGTATGTTGAACTAGAAGAGCTACAAAAAAGAAAAAAATTCAAAACATCATGATACTGTTGTTTCGAAATTTGTATTTTGTAAACTGCTTGGCAGAACCTTGGATCTATTACTGAACAGAACTACATTAATTTTCCATTGAAATGACAAACTTGGAAACTAAAGTGCATTGGTTTCTCTGACAAAAACATTCTGTCTATTGCTGCATGAAGGCAAAATAGTTAATTGACAGTGTAGGTGAAGAAATTTATCAAGTTCTATAGATATTATTGTGCATTACTTACAGTCATTTGGAATTACAGAGGCTTTTGACCTAAAACAATTGATAAAGGAACCGACACGCATCACCGAACATTCTGAGACGCTAATTGACCTAGTGTTTACAAACGCCAACCACAAAGTTGTCGAGTCTGGAGTTTTGATCTCGGACTTAGTGATCACTCGCTTGTTTACTGTGTCCTTAAATCCGGTCGTCCCCGAGTTGCTCCCAAAACTATCGAATATCGTTCATACAAGAACTACAACAAAGACTCTTTCAATGAAGATCTTGAGAATATTCCCTGGCATGTCGTTTTTAATCACACCGACAACCTGGACGAATGTGTTAATACATGGAATAAGCTGTTCTTGGACGTTGTCGAAGCCCACGCACCAATTAAAACCCGAAGAGTCAGAGGATCGTCAACCCCGTGGATGACCTCAATCATCGCTAATGAAATGAGAAAGCGCGATTATCATCTCAAGAAAGCAAAAGGAAAGAAGAACAGTCGAAATTGGCGCGTTTACCGACTACTAAGAAACAGAGTCAACAGAGACATTAAGAAAGCTAAATCAGACTATTATTCCAGTCTGATTCAAGAAAACCAAGGAAATGCTAAAGGGTTGTGGAAAGCACTCAAAAAGACTCTACCATCGTCAAAGATCTCCACAAATATCTCTAGTCTACGAGTAGATGACGCAGTTGTCACCTCTGACGAGTCAATTGCCACTGCTTTGAACACCTATTTGTAAGTATTGGTAGAAAACTTGCCAGAAAATTTCCGGACCTGTCGTTCTCTAGCCAGCCCGAGGTCAATCCTAATATAACTGGTTCCGGGTTTTCTTTTCGGCTGATATCTGAAAGTTTTGTCAGGGAAGCTATCAAGCGATTAAAACCCAATAAAGCTCCTGGGTTAGATAAAATCAGTGCCCGCCTGCTTAAGGACTCTGCACATATTATTGCGCCTTCGTTGACGTCACTATTCAATCTATCGCTACAAACAGGAACTTTTCCTTCTGTTTGGAAAAATTCGAGGGTCATACCCCTTTTTAAGAAAGGTGACAAACGGCACGCGTCCAACTACAGGCCAATCTCAGTACTGCCAACGTTAAGTAAGATCTTAGAAAATGCTGTTCGCACTCAATTCTATGGCTACCTAATAGAAAATAACCTCATCTCGTCAAAACAGTTTGGTTTTCGACTGATATCCTCGACGGTCACAGCTTCTGCACAGTTTATTGACCAGTTACTCCTCGGCATGGACAACGGCACTGTTACAGGGACCGTCTTTTTAGATCTGACAAAGGCGTTCGACACCGTGAATCACTCCATCCTGCTACGTAAACTGTCTCGCTT